AGAGACCAAATATACAGATGGCGACTGTACGTCAGTGCACGTGTACTAAAGTGTCACAGAGTGATAAACATTACTGGGTTTGTTTATGCCAGGCTATATGTTTCGTTATAACAACTCAGCAAACGTTTCATTGTTTAGTAAAGTACACTGTACTTAATGACGCACTGCGTCTGTTCCGCCGTTCTACTGACAGACGTCACCGTCACAGCCTGGTCCAAACCCAGACAGTACCTGTCATGGTTTCTTTCATCACAGCCTGGTCCAAACCCAGACAGTACCTGTCATGATTACTTTCATCCATGGGGTAATTAAATGTTCAGATTCTGTCAATTAAAATGAAAGAAGATGGTGGGTTTATTTTGGGGTTGATATTTTTTGTTATTTCAAGTTGTGCCGCACCGGATTTCTATACGTCAGTGAACTCACTGCACAATGCCAGCGGTCAATCCCAGCCATGTACACACACACACACACTGATGTCTTCCCAGACTGTTTTAGCCCTCAATATTTACACCAGTGCTTCAAGCCCAGCTGCTGAAGCAATATCACGCAATTACACGTTCTCGACAAAATTGGAAAATTAATAAAATATCCTTTTTTTCAAAAACGTCAGTCACGATTTCAATAGGCATCGTGTGCACTTTGCACATAGTGGCAATTTGGAATGTGATCCCATACCATAAAGGTGTAATTCATTAATCATATAACAGGTATGTGGGAAGCAGAGATCCGTTGATGCACCAGTATCAACAATGTTCACGAGATATGCAAATAAACTACATTCCCCAGCTTGTCAATTTCACTTAACGGCCACATATGTCACGTGGTTGATCTAACCAAACGAGCACGTGGTCGCTGTCAACAAAAAGTGCGTGCAAACAGCGAGCGACTTGAAGTCTTATGAAGATGTTACGCCCGCTATTTGCGACCTTCGTCGCCTTTGGAGCAAGAATTTCGTGGACATTATGGCGGAAAGCAGACTGAGAAAGAAGTACAGTCCTTACCCAACTCTATCTGATAGTTTCTGTGACGGTAAGTCCAGATTCCGGACAAATCTGAATAACCCGGTAATCGGCAATTTCCGATGTCACGTGTAACGGTATCAGAAGATTGTCAGAGTGCCAGGCTAGGATGTAGATGATGTTTAGGTCGAAATCCTTCACACGGCAGTGGTGAAATTGTCAAACACATTCTGAATATTGTTTGTAAGTGGTATAAGACATGCAGACTACTTTTAGATCACCCCTGTGGTTTGTTTCTACCAGGGAGAATAGATTATCCCTGTTTCTACATAGCTTACTGAGAGTGCTGTGACAGACCTATATTACAGATGCCCGAAAGTGAGTGGTAGATATAAAGCAGGTGTCCGAAAGTGACTGGTAGATATAAACAGGTGTCCGAAAGTGAGTGGTGAATATAAGCAGGTGTCCGAAAGTGAGTGGTAAATATAAGCAGGTGTCCGAAAGTGAGTGGTAGATATAAGCAGGTGTCCGAAAGTGAGTGGTAAATATAAGCAGGTGTCCGAAAGTGAGTGGGAGATATAAGCAGGTGTCCGAAAGTGAGTGGTAGATATAAGCAGGTGTCCGAAAGTGAGTGGTAGATATAAAACAGGTGTCCGAAAGTGAGTGGTAGATATAAGCAGGTGTCCGATAGTGAGTGGTAGATATAATGTGCCCGAAAGTGAGTGGTAGATATAATGTGCCCCAAAGTGGGTGGTATATAAGCAGGTGTCCAAAAGTGAGTGGTAGATATAAGCAGGTGTCCGAAAGTGAGTGGTAGATATAAGCAGGTGTCCGAAAGTGAGTGGTAGGTATAAGCAGGTGTCCGAAAGTGAGTGGTAGATATAAGCAGGTGTCCAAAAGTGAGTGGTAGATATAATGTGCCTGAAAGTGAGAGGTATATATAAAGTGCCCGAAAGTAAGTGGTAGATATAATGTGCCCGAAAGTGAGTGGTAAATATAAGCAGGTGTCAGAAAGTGAGTGGTAGATATAATGTGCCTGAAAGTGAGTGGTATATATAATGTGCCCCAAAATGTGTGGTAAATATAAGCAGGTGCCCGAAAGAGAGTGGTAAATATATGCAGGTGTAGAAAAGTGAGTGGTAAATATAAGCAGGTGTCCAAAAGTGAGTGGTAAATATATGCAGGTGTAGAAAAGTGAGTGGTAAATATAAGCAGGTGTCCAAAAGTTAGTGGTAAATGTAAGCAGGTGTTCTAAAGTCAGTGGTAGATATAATGTGCCCGAAAATGAGTGGTAAATATAAGCAGGTGCCCGAAAGAGAGTGGTAAATATATGCAGGTGTAGAAAAGTGAGTGGTAAATATAAGCAGGTGTCCAAAAGTGAGTGGTAGATATATGCAGGTGTCCAAAAGTGTGTGGTAGATATAATGTGCCCGAAAGTGAATGGTAGATATAAGCAGGTGTCCGGAAGTGAGTGGTAGATATAATGTGCCCAAAAGTGAGTAGTAGATATAAGCAGGTGTCCAAAAGTGAGTGGTAGATATAATGTGCCCGAAAGTGAGTGGTATTTATAATGTGCCAGAAAGCGAGTGGCAGATATAATGTGCCCGAAAGTGAGTGGTAGATATAATGTGCCCGAAAGTGAGTGGTAGATATAAACAGGTGTCCAAAAGTGAGTGGTAGATATAATCATGTGCCCACCAGTGAGCTGTAGATATAATGTGCCCGACAGTGAGTAGTAGATATAATCATGTGCCCACCAGTGAGTAGTAGATATAATCATGTGCCCGACAGTGAGTGGTAGACATAATGCCCGACATAATGTGCCCAACAGTGAGTAGTAGATATAATCATGTGCCCGACAGTGGGTGGTAAATATAATGTGCCCAACAGTGAGTAGTAGATATAATCATGTGCCCGACATTGAGTGGTAGATATAATGTGCCCAACAGTGAGTGGTAGATATAATCATGTGCCCGACAGTGGGTGGTAAATATAAGCAGGAGTCCGAAAGTTGAAGATAGATATATAGCAGTCCGTGTACCCACTGGAATGATACTGAAATTTGACGTTTTCTTCACAAAACCGTTAATCTGGTACCAACACCAATACATCTATAAGGATTAGATCCTTGACCTCATAGCCATCTATGTATTTTGGGGAACCTTTGGATTTTATTATAATAAACTGTTATTTTTTGTACATGAACAGTTTATGCAGTCACAATGAACGGAAAATAGATGTTTGGCATGTATGATGTACTGACATTACATGAGTTTGTCATCATTGGGTCAGTTTTTGTATTTGACTAAAAACACTTGAAGGTCATGTAACTTTTACTGTAAACACTGCAAGGCCTATGTATTATTGATAGATCAAGGACAGCCCCTAGTATCAACCTACTCTTGATCTTGGAACACTGGTTCCAGGCGACATGTCATGATATTTGTGTTGAAACAGCTCCAACCTCTGCCGTAACGTGTGTTATGATTAATGAGTAGGTGTTCCTTTTTCTCAAAATGACCTATGCTTGTCTCAGTGCTGTTTGTTAAAATGTACATTCAGGATGGCCAACAAATATCTGAAACTGCAGCAAAACCGTGACCTTAGCATGAGGTGAATTGCGTAATAATATTACATGAATGTGGTTCAGGAAAGATGAACACTAACATCTTTGTGTTATAACCAAAGTAAGTGTTGTAGCTTTCTGAGATGGAATATGAACCATGGACCTCTCTTAGAAGTTAAAGGTGTCATTTGTGGTATTTACAGCTGTCTTCTACAGTACTAATCCTTACATAAACCAGTAACAGACATCCACCTCTATCCTGACAGTCTTGCTATGAATGTAAGCTACATATACACAGACAACAAGCCTACAGACAGACATTGTGTACTGGTGTGCTTGCCCAGCTGGGTCTGCTGTCTTATGTTGGTGTCTGTTGTATGGTATACAGTGTGTTTTGTTGAGAAACACGCCTAATGAATATTCTGAACACTCATTTTGAGATAAGGATGTATATCGAGTCCTGTTTTATTGATTCTCACTGGATTGACATGTTGCAAGGGGAACGGCAGGCTGCTCATGTAACTGGTGTAAGTCTGAACAGAATAAAGCTGAGCAGAGATACTCTTCTCAGGTATCAGTAGTTATATTGTAAAGTACATATTCTAAAATGTCCTTAAGGAACATGGATTGTCAGCTTAATGTTTCAAACTATTGAAAAATGTATTCTGTGAATCTAACATTTTATGTGCCCAGCTGAGCTTGAAATAATAAAATTGACTTCCTATAACTGGGACAGAGTACAGCAATGTATTAGGCTAAGAAAGATGTGCACCTAATTTTGGATTTCAGTTTCCTGCTAGTTATTCATAGCTACATAGATCATGGTTGGTGACAGGGCTGTCATATGAAATCTTGATGGTGACAGATGACATGCTGTTGGGGTTAGGTCCATTGCTTGGTGTGTCTGGATTCACCTAGTATACTTGAGAAGTCCAACCCTGTGGACCTGCGATGGAGAGACAGAGACTGGGCATACCGGGTAGGTAGGGTGTAGTGGAGGTGGGCACATCATAACCTGATGACAGTGGACCTGCGATGGAAAGACCGAGACTGGGCATACCGGGTAGGTAGGGTGTAGTGGAAGTGGGCACATCATAACCTGATGACAGTGGAGAGACAGGAGGGGCTGTGGTGGACGATCAGGTTGTTGGGAACCTGGCGGGCACTTTAGGGGCAGTAGATGGAAGGATATGGTGGTTGGTGAGGTTGGGGCAGCAGGATGTGGTGGGGTGGATGGAGTGTGGGAGTAGATAAGGATGTGGTGGTGGTGGGGCAGTAAATAAGGATGGTGGATGGTGAGGATTAGAGATGGGAGAGGGAGTTGGGCAGTAGGATCTGGTGGATGGTGAAGGTTGGGGTAAGGATATGGTGGATGGTGAGGTTGGGGCAGTAGATAAGGATGTGGTGGATGGTGAGGCGTTGGAGCAGTATGATAAGGATGGTGGATGGTGAGGTTGGGGCAGTAGATAAGGATGTGGTGGATGGTGAGGTTTTGGGCAGTAGATAAGGATGTGGTGGATGGTGAGGTTGGGGCAGTAGATAAGGATGTGGTGGATGGTGAGGTTGGGGCAGTAGATAAGGATGTGGTGGATGGTGAGGTTGGGGCAGTAGATAAGGATGTGGTGGATGGTGAGGTTGGGGCAGTAGATAAGGATGTGGTGGATGGTGAGGTTGGGGCAGCAGATAAGGATGTGGTGGATGGTGAGGTTGGGGCAGTAGATAAGGATGTGGTTGATGGTGAGGTGAGGTTGGGGCAGTGAGATGGATGGGATGGGTTAGGGCCGTGAATGGATGTGATGGGTGAGGTTAGGGCAGTAGATAAGGATGTGGTGGATGGTGAGGTTGGGGCAGTAGATAAGGATATGGTGGATGGTGAGGTTGGGGCAGTAGATAAGGAGGATGGTGATAAGGGCAGTAGATAAGGATGGTGGTGGTGGTGAGGTTGGGGCAGTAGATAGGATATTGGTGGATGGTGGTTAAGGATTAAGGATATGGTGGATAGTGAGAGTTGGGGCAGTAGATAAGGATAATGGTGGATGGTGAGGTTGGGGCAGTAGATAAGGATGTGGTGGATGGTGAGGTTAGGGCAGTAGATAAGGATGTGAGTGGATGGTGAGGTTAGGGCAGTAGATAAGGATGTGGTGGATGGTGAGGTTGGGGCAGTAGATAAGGATGTGGTGGATGGTGAGGTTGGGGCAGTAGATAAGGATGTGGTGGATGGTGAGGTTGGGGCAGTAGATAAGGATGTGGTGGATGGTGAGGTTGGGGCAGTAGATAAGGATGTGGTTGATGGTGTGGTGAGGTTGGGGCAGCCGATAAGGATGTGGTGGATGGTGAGGTTGGGGCAGTAGATAAGGATGTGGTAGATGGTGAGTTTGGGGCAAGAGAGGTAGACAATTAGGATGTACCTGATGATGAAATTGTTATAAATCATTGTGATATATCAGACCTAAGTTTGCACTCAGTATAATGGGTATCGAACATTAATGTTGATATAGCAGTGACTGAAATGATGAGTTGTCTTATATTTCACTGATTACAGGGCCAATGAATTGGTGTTAAAATACTGTGTCACAAATCTCAAATTGCCTATTATTTTACATCACTATAAGCTGAGCTGTGTTGTAAATAATACAATACGAACAAGACAAACAACTGACAGTGTAGACAACACCCCATGGTCTGGGACACAGCCTGGTACCTGGTACCCATTGTGTTAACCTGAAACCCATTGTGTTAATGATACCCATTGTAACCACCTGGTACTCATTGTGTTAACCTGATACCCATTGTGTTAACCTGATACCCCTGGTACCCAATGTAATCACCTGGTACCCATTGTGTCCATCTGGTGCCCATTGTGTCCATCTGGTGCCAATTGTGTCCACATGGTACCCATTATAGCCACTTATACCCATTTTGTCCATCTGGTACCCATTATAACCACTTATACCCATTGCAACCACCTGATGCCCATTGTAACCACCTGGTACCAATTGTAACCACATGGTACCCATTGTGTCCACCTGGTGCCCATTGTGTTAACCTGATGCCCATTGTGTCCACCTGGTACCCATTGTAACCACATGATACTCATTGTGTTAACCTGATACCCATTGTGTTAACCTGATACCCATTGTGTTAACCTGATGACCATTGTGTCCATCTGGTACCCATTGTAACCACCTGATACCTATTGTGTTAACCTGATACCCATTGTAACCACCTGATACCCATTGTAACCACCTCGTACCCATTGTAACCACCTGATACCCATTGTAACCACTTGTACCCATTGTGTCCACCTGATACCCATTGTAACCACCTCGTACCCATTGTGTCCACCTGGTACGTGATACCCATTGTGTCCACCTGATGCCCATTGTGTCCACCTGATACCCATTGTAACCACCTCGTACCCATTGTGTCCATCTGGTACGTGATACCCATTGTGTCCACCTGATGCCCATTGTGTTCACCTGATACCCATTGTGACCACCTGGTACCCATTGTGTCCACCTGATACCCATTTTGTCCACCTGGTACCCATTGTGACCACCTGGTGCCCATTGTGTCCACCTGATACCCTTTGTGTTCACCTGATTCCCATTGTAACCACCTGATACCCATTGTGACCACCTCGTACCGCCTGTAGTCACCTGGTACCCATTGTGTCCATCTGGTACCCATTGTGTCCACCTGATGCCCATTGTGTTCACCTGATACCCATTGGGCATACCCAATCTCAAATTGCCTATTATTTTACATCACTATAAGCTGAGCTGTGTTGTAAATAATACAATACGAACAAGACAAACAACTGACAGTGTAGACAACACCCCATGGTCTGGGACACAGCCTGGTACCTGGTACCCATTGTGTTAGCCTGAAACCCATTGTGTTAATGATACCCATTGTAACCACCTGGTACTCATTGTGTTAACCTGATACCCATTGTGTTAACCTGATACCCCTGGTACCCAATGTAATCACCTGGTACCCATTGTGTCCATCTGGTGCCCATTGTGTCCATCTGGTGCCAATTGTGTCCACATGGTACCCATTATAGCCACTTATACCCATTTTGTCCATCTGGTACCCATTATAACCACTTATACCCATTGCAACCACCTGATGCCCATTGTAACCACCTGGTACCAATTGTAACCACATGGTACCCATTGTGTCCACCTGGTGCCCATTGTGTTAACCTGATGCCCATTGTGTCCACCTGGTACCCATTGTAACCACATGATACTCATTGTGTTAACCTGATACCCATTGTGTTAACCTGATACCCATTGTGTTAACCTGATGACCATTGTGTCCATCTGGTACCCATTGTAACCACCTGATACCTATTGTGTTAACCTGATACCCATTGTAACCACCTGATACCCATTGTGTCCACCTGGTACCTCATTGTAACCACCTGATACCCCCATTGTAACCACTTGTACCCATTGTGTCCACCTGATACCCATTGTAACCACCTCGTTACCCATTGTGTCCACCTGAGTGCATTGATGATGATACCCATTGTGTCCACCTGATGCCCATTGTGTCCACCCTGATACCCATTGTGTCCACCTGCCCATTGTGTGCCCATTTGTCCACCTGATACCCATTGTGACCACCTGGGTACCCATTGTGTCCACCTGATACCCATTTTGTCCACCTGGTACCCATTGTGTCCACCTGATACCCATTGTGTCCACCTTGTGCCCATTGTGTCCACCTGGTGCTAATTGTGATACCCATTGTGTAACCCACCTTCCCATTGTAACCACCTGATGCCCATATACCCATTTGTGTACCCATTATTGCAACCGCCTGTAACCACCTGGTACCCATTGTGACCACCTGGTGCCCCATTGTGTCCACCTGATGCCCATTGTGTCTGATCCATTGTGACCCTGGTACCACATTATGTGTACCCACCCATTGTAACCACCTGATACCCATTGTGACCACCTGGTACCCATTGTGTCCACCTGGTACCCATTGTGTCCATCTGATACCCATTGTAACCACCTGATGTCCACATGGTGCCCATTGTGTCCCCATTGTAACCACCTGATACCCATTGTGACCACCTCTGGTACCCCCTGTAGTCACCTGGTACCCATTGTGTCCATCTGGTACCCATTGTGTCCACCTGATGCCCATTGTGTTCACCTGATACCCATTGGGTCCACCTAATACCCATTGTGTCCACCTGGTACCCATTATAACCACTTATACCCATTGTGTCCACCTGGTACCCATTATAACCACTTATACCCATTGTGTCCACATGGTACCCATTATAACCACTTATACCCATTGTGTCCATCTGGTACCCATTATAGCCACTTATACCCATTGTGTCCATCTGGTACCAATTATAACCACTTATACCAATTGTGTCCATCTGGTACCCATTATAACCACTTATACCCATTGTGTCAATCTGGTACCCATTATAACCACTTATACCCATTGTGTCCACATGGTACCCATTATAACCACTTATACCCATTGTGTCCACATGGTACCCATTATAACCACTTATACCCATTGTAACCACATGGTACCCATTATAGCCACTTATACCCATTGTAACCACATGATACCTCTTTGTGACCACCTGGTGCCCTTTATTAAAACCTGATACCAATTATGATCATCAGGTTTAAATCAATATAACCAAGACAATGTGTCCTCGACAAATCCTAGTTTTTATTTGAAAGTTTTTAAGTAAATGCAGCATTAAATCACACAGTTAGAATATATGTAATCATCTGCAGTATGTAATTAAAACGACAGATTTAATTACCATGTATGGTGAGGCTTTTACACTGGATTACATGCTCTGCCAACTCTAAATAGGAAAAGTACAGAAAATATGAAACTCTAAAGTGTTATGTCATTTCCTTCCAGTAAATGTAAAAGTTTGTATTTGTCACAAATCTCTTTTATTAATACAATATGTTAAATGATAAGGCAGGTTTGACTAGCAATTAGATGAGAGCATAATATTCAGGTAATGTTTAGAAAGACAAAATATATTTTCTTGAATAATTTTTTCCCAAAGTGTGTTGACCAAACAATGAGAAAGGTTGGTCTAAACACAGAAGAGACATTTGTGTGAAAAATAGAATGCTGTAAGACAAAAGAGATGCAACAGTATTGCTGAAGAAACAGCAGAACAATGAGCGTGGATGTGACACTAGGGAAAGCAGGTGTTCTACTGCATCAGAAGGATCCATTGTAGAGTGAGTTTATTTTTAAACCACTTAAAGCGATATTCCAGCAATATCCAGCTGGGGTACACCAGAAATGGGCTTCACACATTGTACCCATGTGGGGAATCGAACCGAGGTCTTTAGCGTGACAAGCGAATGCTTTAACCACTGGGCTACCCTACTGGCTATGGCAGAGTGTGAGAGGTGCAGTTCATGATCTGTCTGTGTTCGTCAGGGTGTTCACCAGCACACCTTCCAAACCTGCTGTTGTTATTGACAGAATGGATTATGCAGATTCTCAGGTTCAGTTGTCAGGTCACAAAGTTTTGAAAGTTTGTTTAGCACTACATGTTAATTCATTCTTCAGACTGTTGTCATCTTTAACACCTTGAAATAGCAGCATGGGAATATCTTGCACAGAAAACCTAGAGGCCCCATGGCCAGAGACCAGGTTGGGGATTGTTCTTCTGGTTTTTGTAGATTCAATTCACCAAGGTTTTCCTCCCTGGCTTGCTCCAAGTGTTGACAGTGGACACAATACAAACCCCTGCACCTGTTTTTCAAAATGTGCAAATGTTTGAGTCACTTTCTTCCCTATGAGCAAGGCTAGTCTGACGATCACTTGTATGTGATTGTTTTATATCCTGAACCTTAGGCTGTTGTAAAAATTACATGAAAAGTTATTACTGAAACTTGATACACATATTTTAACAAGATGACATACATCTGCACATTCCCTCTCCTTGAGTGATCTGTTGGTATTTGCAGGGCAACAGTTAACCATGTTATATAGGGCCCATCATATCAATGTGGCCTAAGCTGGGTGGAAGTGAAGTATGTGATCTCTGAATCTTCATGATGATGATGATTGACTGGCTTCCTGAGATATGATGTCCTAAGTTTTCATCTGCAAAATCACATCTCATTTCTGTGCAGATCGTTAAGAATGAAATGACATCGGTAACCTATAAGGTCACTGATTACAAACTAAAACAATTGGAATGCTGGATGCTAAGTTGAATCTCCAGCATCTCCTGATGTCAGAGACATCAACACACAAACCTTGTATGGACTTTCATGTTGACTTGATACATCCAGGAACCCTGGTGAGATTCTCTAGGTCCTGTATACCAGGGGATATGTTAGGATTAAATGATCTAAATATGTGTCGACATTGATGAATGGAGGGGAACCAGTACTATCGGGACCACTCTCTGTCCCACATTGGGTGTCATGTTAGTGTTGAGTATCTAACATGATGTAGATTGTAGAACCGCACAGCATTAGGTCTCTTCAGCATTAAAGTTTATCTTCTGTGAGTGGCATGTAGAATTTGGTGTGATGAACTAGGGAGATAGTTCTATGGATATGCCACTTGTTTATTACACTATATGCAATATTTCATCACTTGCTTGATAACAGTGAGTTTGTAACAGAGAAATTGTACAGTATATATTCATAGAACGTTCTTCCTTAATGTTTATTATAGGTTAGGACTGGTTAAGGAGGTTGGCCTTGATACTATTTTTAATATATGTTAAATATACTGGTTATATGTAACCTCAGTTTTGTTTACTTGTAGGGCATAATTTCTGACCCTACCCCAGATGACATAGATTCAGTTTTTGATGAGAACCCAGGTCAAGAAAGCAGACCTCTTCTTAAACAGTGTTTGAAAGGTAAAACTTGACACCATCAGATGCTTTTCTTGATCTCATTTCTTCAGCTGGACTAATTTACTGTAACAAATGTTTATGAGATAATAAATCCTTGTAACTTGTGTCTTTCAGCACCATTCCTTCTTCATTTTGGAATTAACTTGAGAATGCTATTTAAACTATAATATTTCAGTGAAGTGTAGAGATGCATCCTTGTATATACCCAAAGACAAATGACCAAAACAGTATAAAAATCTCTAATTTGTTGATTCTGTTTACATTCATCAGTTGTTGTATGTGAAGGGTTTGGTGGGGCAGCCTAGTGGTTGAACTATTGTCTTGTCTCACCAAGGATCAGGGTTCGATACATCTCATTGGGTACAATGTGTGGAGCACAGTTAGATTTTCAATTATTATCAAGTAAATTGATCACTGCCACTTTATTTGAAGCATCCAACATAAATCATAAGACATGAAGTATCCAGAATAGATGTAGAGTATTTTTGTGATATTAAATGTGGAAAAAAACTCAAAAGAGAAAAAATATAAAACGACGGCCGTAAGTGAAGGCTGACCCATCCAAGGGAGACTACTCATGTCAAGTCATTAGCCAGTCATTTGGCACAGTTCCAGCTTGTGTTCCACATATTTACAGTGTAAATATTGTTTGTTTGTGAGCACACAGACAGACAAGAGGGCAGCTGCACCCACTGTTATATGTATCAGCCAGAGACACTCAAATATTTGAGGCTGATGTCAGTTTGTTGAGTCTAGATTCAACTGAAGTAACTTCATGTTAATGTTTTGTCAATTTGGGACAGTGTTACAATTGAATCAGAAACTGTGCATATAGAGCATGAAAAACTCATGAGCTGGCATTGTGTTAGATGAAAATTATTTGTTGTTTGAACATATTAGGTTTAATGTTTAAGGGACTGTTCATAATTTATGGCTGGGGGTGGGGGTGATGATGATTTTTATGTAGAAGCATGTACAATGTGAATGACCCCCCTAAAATTCATGTACAAAATCAATGATCCCCCCTTCCCTTCCCATAATTTCTAAGCATAATTTTAAACATCTTTTTATGTACAAAATTGCTGATCCCCCCTAGCTCCCCAGAACAAAATGGGTGACCCCCCCTTAAAATCATCATCACCCCCGGTAGCCATACATTATGAACGGTCCCTAACCATTTAAAAAACAAATATTTGCAAGAAAAAAAATTTATTTGATATTTCATACTAGGGAGCATATATGGTATACATAGAGGATACTAAACGGCCTTCCGTGTAATACCATTTTTATTAAACGAGTTGATGATTTGGTTTCAAACGAGTGAAAGCGAGTTTGATACAAAATATCTCACGAGTTTCATAAAAATGGTATTTCACGGAAGTGAGTTTAGTATTCTGATTATTACTCTCCAACATAAATTGATAGAAACTGCCTACTAACAGTGTGATGACTTTCAGCTTTCCGCGAGTCAAGCAAGGTCTAATACCATTGTGACAGAGGTATTAGCATTGTGACGTCATAATTGTAAACCATTATGACGTCATACGTCTAGCGGTATTACACTTGTGTAATATTGACGTAAAAATATTACACTGCAGTATCTTCCACGGGAGAGTAATAATATGAATTCTACAACTTTTATTAACTTATATTTCATGATACCAACAATGTTCCTCCAATATGGCAATACAACCTTAGATAATACTGTGATTTGGTAGATATAGGCGGCCATTCATCTCACAGTTGGATACATTAAACATCTGTAATCAATATTATGTTAAAGAAAAATCTAAAAGCTCAGGATATAACAATTAGTAAGTTAAGATAATAGTCATTTGACAACTGAAGCACGCATCATCAGAAGAAAGGTGATTTTAGCATGTATTTTCTCACCATGTTCTCCGTATTTCTGTTTTGTATGGATCCATAACCGTATGAGATGATTGTTTTTCACTTTTTCCTAAATGTGATCAATTGCTTGTGACAAAATTGAATTAGACAAATGCATCTGAACTTGTATATGCTGAGATATATGCTGCAGAATAACACTAGACGTAGATATTTCAGAATTATGTCTCAGTTTCTGTCCAAGAGTTTTTCTCAGGTGTCCATAACAATTCGTGTAAGTGTGTTTTGTTTTTGGCAGCTAAGTAGGAATCAATTTTAAGTAACCAATGCTTGTGTTTCATGACAACACATTACTACCATTTCAGATGTGTTTGTGGATATTGCGGATGACAATGACCTACGTTGGAGGCGGTGTCCCCAGGCGGCCATCTTGTCTCGCCTCCCAAGTCACCGTGCACTTTCATCGGACCAGGGTTACACGCTGTCTCGCACCCTGGAGAGGGCAAAACGGAGGCGGAGGAGCAACCGGGCCCCCTCCCAGGGGCGCACCAGTGTCACGGATATGGAGAGTCATCCGGATGCCGTTGCAGAAAGGACTTTAACTAAGCGGAAATCAGGGCGGAAATCATCCAAGAATTATGACGTTCCTGGGGTGGATGAAGTTGATGCTGATTCTGACTTCCTGCGGAAGGAGAGTATACGGTCGATGACAGCGAGTCTGGCAGTCAAGCGGAAATACAGGTAGGACCAATGTCGTCGATCTTGTTGCCTTTTTATGGCGGCACTTGTACAGCTGCTGGAACAGTCATGGGGGAGACCTTCATAATATATGTATTTTCTTGAAATTGATATTATCATTTTTTGACAAGATGACTTTACATATGTAAAGAAAGAAAACACTTCCTGGGACGTAACTTATGGATTCAAAGTTTGGCTGATTGTAAGGTGGAATTGACAGACATGAAAATCTCAGAAATATTTCATTGTATCCTGAACATATCAAATTCATCACCATTGTTGCTGGTTTATTACATAGCCAGTGATAGTGAGCTTTTCTACAATGTTGTAACCAGACCGGGTATTTTCTCTCACTCTGAGATATGTGCATCAAGGGAGATAACTCTAGCTCAGTACTTGGCAAACACAACTTTGAAGTTCAAGGAAATTCTTTGAAATGTTGGACATTTAGGTTAAACCTCTGTGTGTGTCAATCTAAGTGATTAAAATGTTCTCTGCTGTGATAAGTTACTAAAGATCTTGTAGTCTAAAACATGATCTGGTGTTGAGATTCGGAATGAATAAAATAAAATATTTAGCATGAAATTAATGTGTATTTGTTTCCAAATTTCCTCTTCAGCACAAGATAAGGTTACTTGTTTACTTTTTCCAAAATCTGTTGGAAAAGGAAATCCAAAACAATATTCGGTCATTTGTTTTCCTTGTATCAGATTGTTCTGTAAATTCAAGAGGCCATTGACAGAGGACAACCAGTCTCTATCATCTGCTAAAACAGTTTCCATTGTGTGTAAAATGTAAAATATTCATGAAGAGAAGAAATATGATCAGCACTTACATTTATATGAGTCATTACAGTTACCTAACCCCTCTGTGAGGGGTGTACATTGTGTACTAGTTTGAGGAACGGCATAACAAGAAAGTGAACTCTTTCAGTGGATGAGAGATGTCATACAAATGATACAAAAAGCAAGACGTAACGATCATCTGATTTTCAGCGAATGCATGTGAGCATTCAAAGTATGTCTCAAGTGTCAACAGGATATTGTAATTTTCTGACAAGCAGCACAATCAGGATCCCATGGACACAAACAGGATCACATGGATGCAAACAGGATCACATGGATGCAAACAGGATCACATGGATGCAAACAGGATCACATGGACACAAACAGGATCACATGGACACAAACAGGATCACATGGATGCAAACAGGATCACATGGATGCAAACAGGATCACATGGACGCAAACAGGATCACATGGATGCAAACAGGATCACATGGACACAAACAGGATCACATGGACACAAACATGACCACATGGACACAAACAGGATCACATGGACACAAACAGGATCACATGGACACAAACAGGATCACATGGATGCAAACAGGATCACATGGACACAAACAGGATCACATGGATGCAAACAGGATCACATGGACACAAACAGGATCACATGGACGCAAACAGGATCACATGGATGCAAACAGGATCACATGGATGCAAACAGGATCACATGGACACAAACAGGATCACATGGATGCAAACAGGATCACATGGATGCAAACAGGATCACATGGATGCAAACAGGATCACATGGACACAAACAGGATCACATGGACACAAACAGGATCACATGGACACAAACAGGATCACATGGACACAAACAGGATCACATGGACACAAACAGGATCACATGGACACAAACAGGATCACATGGATGCAAACAGGATCACATGGACACAAACAGGATCACATGGACACAAACAGGATCACATGGATGCAAACAGGATCACATGGACACAATCAGGATCACATGGATGCAAACAGGATCACATGGACACAAACAGGATCACATGGACACAAACAGGATCACATGGACACAAACAGGATCACATGGACACAAACAGGATCACATGGACACAAACAGGATCACATGGCAGCAGTTAGGATCACATGGACACAAACAGGATCACATGGACACAAACAGGATCACATGGCAGCAGTTAGGATCACATGGACACAAACAGGATCACATGGATGCAAACAGGATCACATGAAATGGCATCAAGTCAAGTGTTTGGAACTCAGCTAAACAAGGATGAAATGTGGACACTCCACTGAACTTGGCAGAGTACAACTCAACTGTCAACAAACAGCTACAGCCAGTTTAATACACCATGGAATTTCATGAATATGCATGGGAAAGAGTCTACATTCCTGACACCAAAGCTACCAATGGTTTAGTGCCATGATGTCCTGATATATTCACACTCTTGGAAATAGGCACCAGACATTCATGAATATGGCTTATGATGAATTTACTGAGGGTTTACCAGAGTGAGTGGTTTTGTAGGAATCGATGTGATTTTGGCTGTTGTAACATGACAGGTCCTCCGTTCTGTGGAACTATTGCAGAATGATCAAGGATTTGGAACAACTTAATGGAAGCAAGTGAGTGTGGCATCACTGAGAACTTGAGATAATTGTGGGAATTAAACACTGACAGACTATCTGCCAGGGATCAATATGATCTAAACACATTGCCCTTTAGAATAATAACATACAATTGGGAATCATCAGACCCATCAGACAGCAGGCAACGAGGTAACTAAGTTTATGGGTGTGTCGGATTGATTTGTTGTTTGGGTTTGTGTGCTGCCCTGATTGATGGACTACATGTGGTTTGTGTGCCCGTTGACGCATGACAATCAATATACTCTGTCTTCAGAATGGTACTCTACACATCAGGAATGGTTTTGTTAATCGTTAATGTTGTGAATGCTTTGTTGATTATGGAGAGTATCTATGTTTCAGTTCAGAGCATATGCAGAAGATATTAGTATTTGTGGAAAAACATGCTGGCTTGAAAAGTTAGTATCAATTGTTTTTTGTGGAGAAATGATGTTAGTTTTGAAACAGTTTGTAAATTTCAGATAATTGTATTTTGTTATCTCAGACCTAAGGGGTATAATGGCAATGGATGTGTCTCAACCTGTCTCGACCTGTCATCCCAAGTATATTTATGTTTCATGTATTTGTTGTCAATTATTAGCCTTAATGATACAATAGTTTCTGTCAGGAAGCTTGAGAACGCGGCTATCATTAGTGTGATGTTAGAGTTAATGACTTGGTGTAAGTGCATACTTTGATGGTTTTCAATGTCCCTAGATATCTAGGTCACATGCTGAGAGAGGGGAAGCTCTACTTGACAGTCGGCAGCATATAGCACCATGCCACATGCAATAAGAGAACAGAACAGAACAGAGCTTTTATTACACTCTAGGCTGAGACACTCGTCGTAAGAGGTACAAATATACAGTTGACAATACATGGGATGGCGGGATGGTTTACATGGAAGATTGTACAGTTTTCATGATAGTACTACAAAAATATGCACAGTTTTTTCAGAACACTAACTTGTTTACCGTTAAACAATTCGTTAAATCTTACCACATTGGTTTTTTTAACATAATGGTTTGGGATATAAGCTTTCTGATTATGCTTGAAGAAAGGGCAGAGAAAAATGTAATGACATTCATTGCCAACATCACACGTGTCACAGAGCAACACCTGGGTGATGAAGAGCCACGATGGTTCATGGTCAACCTGTCAATGGAAGGATCTTAAGCTTTATGTCCAATACCATCATGGGACCCACATGTATATACATGTAGTTGAATGACAAAAGATGGTTTTTTATTAGATTAAAGCCATATTTAGTTGTGAATTTTTTTAAAGAATCTTCTTCAAAGACACAAGGTTGAAGATTTGTGAAACACTAACAGGAAGTATAGCACCACTACTATATTCATTCTGTAACAGCTTTGACCTATATCAAACAACAGAACCATTCCAAAACCTTCATCGTTTTTACAGATTCACTATCTTGCCTTCAAGCACTTCAAAATGTTACTTCAAGTCACCTTATCATCCTGGACATTTTAGAACTTTACAATGATCTTTCTACTGGCCAATGTGACATCGTCCTCTGCTGGTTGCCGGGTCACGTCGGCATAGCAGGTAACACAAAGGCCGATGCTGAAGCTAAAGCAGCTCTTGACAAACCCTTATTTCCACTGCTGACCCCGTACAGTGACTTCAAACCCACTATCAAAAGTTATACTCGGGACCTTGTGCAAAAAAGGTGGGACACCCAAGTAGGAAGAAATAAACAGTATGAATTGAAGCCAACAATTGGTTATATCTACAGTGGAAACCGCCTAAGTAAAGACCGCTTAACTAAACAGACCTGATAAGTAAACACTTTTCTTTGGTCCCGGCAAATTTCTTCATGAATTATCACTATTAGAGTCTGGTTAACTAAACTCGGATAAGTAAACAATACCGCTTACCTAAACGTCTTCTCACGGTCCCTTGAAGTAAATTACTTAACAAAAGACACTGGATAACTAAATTAGCGATCACCACATAATCCGACATGAGGGGCAGTCGTGTCAGTCTCAGTCAAACAAACATCCTACTTACAGCTCGCTGGCGTCAAGCAGTTGACAATACACTGACAACTGGAGGCCAGCCCTGATAAGTTGTTCATTGTTACATATGCATACATATACATGCATATGGTTGTCATTTGCAGGTTTTTATAAGTTTGGATAAGTAAAATACCTGATAAGTAAACAATTTTGGCGAGTCCCTTGAAATTTTACTTATCAGGTTTCCACTGTACTTGGGTTGTCAGTCAAGACATGATGAGGTAAAATGTCATATTGGCCACAGTCGGTTTACTCATGAGTATCTGCTGAAAACGGATGGGGATGGACCTCCCATGTGTGTCTCTTGCGATGAAGTGTTTACCATCAAGCATATTCTGCTTGATGGACTTTTCGACTGACTCACATTAAGTAGAAATCTGAAAGATCTGTTTTCCCGCGTGAGCGAGCATCTGATTGTAAACTACCTGAGGGAAGTTGACCTGTATCATAAATTGTAACTTTGTAAAGAGAATAACAAATTGCTTGCTTTTGTATTTGGTGCTATGACATTTTCTGTTTTTAAATAAAAATGTAATGAATATATATGTTTTTAAAATATA